AGAAGCAAACATGCTTTTATGAGAGCAAATGATCTGTCCAAGAGGCGATGTGTCAGATCAGTTTCGAGCTCTGTGTTGCTCATTTAACAGCAGTCTGAGTTTGGTCCAAAGATTAAATTTCGTCTACCGCTGATACACAGCCTGTTCACTCCATTCTACTTAAATGATACGAAATTTGGACAAAGTTAAAAAATCACCCAAAATATCTATTTCTGCATGAAATGTTAACAGACCTAGGAAGTAGACATCAGGTGGGCAAATACCGCATAACGAGAAAAATATCTACTAGTGGAAGCACTAGCAAAAGCGGCGGTAAATTCCATCGCTGGCGTAAAGTGTGAGCTCTGTACATCACCTACATACAAGAGATCACGAAACGTCTGCATAACGAACTGGCCATTAATGCAACTTCTGCAGCCGTGATGGCATCTTCCATCACCTTATCGTCTTTTAGCATTAGCTGGGCCTTCAGCAGGGTATCCGATCAAAGATCCTCGTCTTTAACCGATTGACTCAGAGTCCAATTTTTTCCAACACGTTTTGCACCTGACTGTCGCTTCCAATACAAGGCGCAACATCATCAGCGAACCACAGGTGAACTGTTCGTCAACACTTGCTGATACATAAAGAACAGCTTGTAGACTTGTGAGAGCAGGCAGACTGGCGATAGTACTTCCGATCTAACTTGTCACTTCTTGAGCAAAACAATTGTTTTTGACTCGTTCCGATTTGTAGTGTCATTTCCGTTTCCAAGTAGCAGCTGCATCTCTACAATGGTGCCATTCACGGCGACGGACAATTTGGTTTGATCATTTAAATTGTCAAACCGCCTCTCCCTACTTCCTTCATTTGCTGCACGGCATGCTGAATTGCACTTATGAACACCGGGAGTGCATTTCCCTTTTGCCTTTGGAGTGATGATGGTAGAGGAGGGGGCGCTTTTTTTGACGCAAATAGGTGGGCGTAAAAGATCTTGTAGATAGACTGTGAAATACAGTCACCTGTCAGAGTAAATATGCCATACCTGTTGTTCAGCGCTATGATGATTGACTTATGAGGCTTCTGCGATCTTCCGCTGTTTTCTCCAATTTCTCAATCAGAAGGTTTCAAATCCTCCTTCGGCCTCCGTTTAATCAGCTAGCAGAGAAGAGAGGACTCCACCGTGTC